ATGAGATATCATGAAAAAATATAGGAAGTGTGGAAGTAGGACATGGCTGGAGAAGAATTAGCCATGGATTTATAGTGATTCAAGGAAGGAGGGAAATCATACAAATACAAGTATTTTGATAAAAGTAGCATCTCTACTAAGGCCTATTCACTATCAGAATCTATTTGATTCATTAGCTTATGCAGTGAGTTCTAACAGTGATTTACATATCAAGTTTGGGATAAAGAAGAATACCATGTTATTCAATTATATGTAGTTATTGAGTTTTGGGAAAATAGGTAGCAAGAGCTTAGAAAGTGTGGAAAATTCTTTTATAAACTTAAGAGTGGGAAAGGCCTTTAAATTTATATTCAAAATCCAGAAGCCATAAAGGGGGTGAAGAAAACCCCAATAAAATAAAAAAACTATATTCTCCAATCATACCAAGGGTAAATCTCCATAATACACAAGAATTCTTACAGATTTATTATAAAAAGGAGTACTACAATAGGAAAATGGACAATATATATGAATGCACAGTTCACAGAAAAAAAATTCTAATGGTTCTTAAACATACAATATTCATTGCAAATTAAAGAATGCAAATTAAAACTTTAATGAGAGAACCATTTTTGGTCAGGTGCAGTGGCTCATGTGTGTAATTCCAGCCTTGGGAGGCCAAGGCAGGATGATTGCTTGAGTCCAGGATTCAACACTAGCCTGGGCAACCCAGTAAGATCCCATGAAAAATGAATGAATGAATGAATGAATGAGCCAGGCTTAGTGGTACATTCCTAGTCCTAGCTACTTGGGAGGGTGAGGCAGGAGGTTTCCTTGGGCCTAGGAGTTTGAGGCTGCAGTGAGCACTGATCACACCACTGCACTCTAGGCTAGGCAACAGAGAGAGATGCTATCTCCAAAAAAAAAAAAAACAACAACAAAGAGATAACCATTTTCTACCTATCATGTTGGCATGAAGTTCCATAACATTCTGTTGGCAAGACTTTAGGAAAAGAGGCACTCTTTATTACAGGAATATAAGTAAACCAGTTGGCAATAGCTACCAAAATTATAAACACTCTAATTTTTGATCTAGCAATTCCAATCCTGGATAATTCACTCTACTAATATTCCTGCACACGTATGAAATGACATACACACAAGGTTATTAAATACAGCATTTTTGTAACAGTGAAAGACCAGAATCAATCCAAATGTCCTTCAATATGGCATTGATTAACTAAATTACACAATGTCCACGCAATGGAATCCTATGGTAGTGCAAAAACAGAGACAATAGAATAAGGAAACTAGATGCTAATATGGAAAGATCTCATAGACAAGTAAAAAAAAGCAATGCATAGAACAGTGTGCATGTTTTATTAATATTTCATGTAAAAAATAAATAAAAGAGAAATCACATATGAGGCCAGGAGACTGAGACCAGCCTGGCCAAAATGGTGAAACCCCATTTCTACTAAAAATACAAAAATTAGCTGGGTGTGGTAACACATGCCTATAATCCTGGCTACTTTAGAGGCTGAGGCACGAATATCACTTGAACCTGGAGGCAGAGGTTGCAGTGAGCCAAGATTACGCCACTGCAATCCAGCCTGGGCTACAGAGTAAGACTCTGCTTCAAAAAAAAAAAAGAAAAGAAAAAAGAAAGAAAGAAAGAAATATATACAGGTAAATATGAGGGAAGAAGATTTTTCTCTGTATATTGTTAAATATACTATTTTAATTTTTAAACCATGTGACCATATTAACCCATTTAAAGAAATCCTTAAACACAAAAGCTATTGAAGATTTTGATTAATCATAACTTCTTAAATTTAAACTTCAAAAAATATTGCAATTTTCAGGACCACAGGAAAGGTTAAAATATGCAATTAAGTAAAAATCAACAACAACAAAATCTGTAGAAAAACAAATGTATCTTACATAAAATCAGAGAATAGTCTGAAAATATCAGAGCATTTTAATGTACAGATACAAAAATGCATCGCTCTAAAAACATATGAAAAGTATCTTTAACTCAAATATACCATAGTTACTGAGTTACATAAGCAACCAAGAGGATTCAGGTCAAGTTGAAAGGTATATCAGTGCCCCGACCTTTTTGGCATCAGGAACCAATTTCGTGGAAAATGATTTTTCCACAGACCCAGAGAAGTGGAGAAGAAGGGCATGGCTTTGGGATGACTCAAGTGCATTACATTTATCATTAGATTCTCATAAGAAGCGAGCAACTTAGATCCCTCACATACACAGTTCACAATAGGATTTGCGCTCCTATGAGAATCTAGTGCCACTGCTGATGTGAAAGGAAGTGGAGCTCTAGCCCACAGCTCACCTCCTGCTGTGCGGCCCAGTTTCTAACAGGCCATGGACCAGTACCAGTCTGTGGCTGCAGGGGCTGGGGAACGTGGGGTATATCATTCTCAGATTCCTTCCTCATTTTTCTCTAAAATAACTTTATGAACATCATATTTATAGGATGGGGAAAAATTGTAATCTTCTACTTACATTTTCATTTTTCAAGATGAGTTTCAGGATTGCTTCTCTCTGTTTTAAAGCCTAAAAGCAGGATAATTTCCAGTTAATAGATCTTTTTTTAAAAAAAGATCAATTAGTGTTCCTAATATTTTGTCCCTTCTAAAATATCTCTCAGTACTTACAGGAAATGACAGAAACTCTGATGAGGTCAAAGCAAGGTCTAGATTCAAGACTGTAGAGTAATTATTTGTGGTTTTCCTACTGAACTGTATCTTCTTACTGTTTATCCCCAGTGCCTAGTACAATGTCTGGGAAATAACACATCTTTAATCTTTAATAACTAAATGAATATTTATGACTATAATGTCTTTCCTCTATAGTTTAGCAATCTTTATTATTTCCCCTTCATGTAGGAAACTCTTAAAAACTCATCACTACCATAAAATTTATATGAATAATTCAAAGAGATGGCAACAGTAACCTCTGAGTTCCTCCATTTCAACATATAACTTTTGACCACTAACTTATATTAGTGAATTTTTATTTAGTGCTGATGATATATTTGTTTACATGTTTGTATGCTTTTCCCCCAGTGACAATTCCTATTTTTACATTATACAATAAATACAAACCACATTTAGCTCCTTTTAAAGAATCCCACAGCTATATAGTCAATATAGATGCTTTTTAAAACTATCATGGCTGAACTTATCCCTATTCCCACAAACACTGACAAAACAGAGCTACTTACAATGACTACCACATCGAATTACCTAAAAAACAAACCAAATCCTGTTCTTTCAGTAATTCAAGTGTGTTAAGTAGGAAGGTTAATTTGATATGTTGTGTGATCACCAATAAATACTTTTTGTTAAACATTTCACTTGGAGAAAAGTTTTAAGATTAACCATACACTTTGACATCGTAGTTACATAAGAAAAAAAAACTAACCTATAATGTGTGTGTGTTCACTAAAAATGGAATAAAAAGGAGTTTACAAAGTTTCTACTTCTATGTTAACACTATACAAATTTATAATAAATTTGATAAAACCTGTTACAACCCATTTTGATTACTCACACGATATATTAAATTTACAACTTTAATACTGGCTACTTTCCATGTTAGTGTATCTGATGTTCTATTCTACTGTACATCAAAAACCTTAGCTGGCCAGGCACAGTGGCTTATGCCAGTAATCCTAACACTTTAGGAGGCCAAGGTGGGAGGATCCCTTGAGGCCAGGAGTTGAGACTAGCCTGAGCAACATAGTGAGACCCCCATTTATAAAAAAATTCAAAAATTCGCCAAATGTGGTGGTACACGTCTACAGTCCTAACTACTCAGGAGGCTGAGATGGAAATACTGTTTGAGCCCAAGAGTCAAGGCTACAGCGGGCTACAATTGTACTGCTAACAGAGCAAGACTCTGTCTTTAAAAATAAAAATAAAAAAACCTTAATTGTCCATTGTACTATTGGCTTAGTGACAGAGATTCTATAAATAATCTTCAGAACCAATGAGGTAAACAAATTTTTGAAAAATGTTCTGATATCTTGCTTACAAAATAAAATCAAAATTCTTGTACAAAGCACATAAAGTTCACCTAAACCTAGAAGCAGTCTACCTTTCCAGCCTCCTCTCCATCTATATTCCTTGGTGCTCTCATCAAACTAACCCTAGAACCCACCACTAAACAGGGTTTCCACAACTTCTTGCCTGTGTTCATTCTGGCAGAAAAGCCCTCCCTTGTCTCATATGCCTGTCAAATTCCCACCATCCTTCAAGGTCCAGCAGGATTCTATAAATTCCATGGACTTCCCTGACAGAATATTAGTTTTCGTCATCTCAGACTCTCATGGCTCTTTAAACATACCTTAATAAAGCATATTTTACATTGTTTATTTCTGTGTCTGCCTCTTCAAAACAAGTTCTTTGAGGACCAGGCCCATGTTCCATTCACCAGACCCTAGCAGGTGTCCAACACATATTAATGCTCAATAAGTATTAGTCATACTAGGCTGGGCAGTGGCTCATGCCTGTAACCCCAGCACTTTGGGAGGCTGAGGCAGGCAGATCACTTGAGGTCAGGAGTTCAAGACCAGCCTGGCCAACACGGTGAAACCCTGTCTCTACTAATAATATAAAAATTAGTTGGACATGGTGGTGGGCACCTATAATCCCAGTTTATTGGGAGGCGAGGAAGGCAAGGGAGCCAAATCGCTTGAACTTGGGAGGCAGAGATTGCAATAAGCCAAAATCACACCACTGCACTCCAGCCTGGGCAACAGAGCAAGATTCTGTCTCCAAAAAAAAAAAAAAAAAAAAAATCAGTCATACTAAATAAATTTTATAGTCTCCTACAGGTTTTAAAATCTTCATTGGGTAAATTTTCCAAGAATATGCACATACTTAACCACTTTATTAAAGTTGTAGCTATAGTAAAGAGTTGATCAGAGTAATTTTATAGAGGCCATAACTATCAAGTTTACTAACAAAAACCAATCTGAGAAATTACAGACTATAAATGGGACAAATGATTTTTAGCCAGATTAAAAATGGAATTACAGTAAGTCCCTCTAAATGGCAACACATGTAACATGCTGATTGTATGGAACATATTTTCTACTAATAAAACCTGTTCTTTCTTTTGCAATCTGAAGGCAGACAGAATTCAAGATCTCAAGATCTGTGCAAAAATTATAATGTACTGGTAAGTCATAATCATATACTAGAGGGTACTTCTTAACTAACAAAAAATGCTAGAAAGAAGGCAGAACTAGTTTAACACCATCTAAACATCTGCATTCTTATAAACTATGATATCCACTGGAATCATTAATCCTAGCAGGGATGCACTGACTACATCTGTAAATAATCAATCAAATAAATCCCAGTTGTTCTTCATGCCAGGCGTTCTAAACAGAACAATTCTTTAAGCCAAATTTCTCCAATTTTATTCTATGCTAAACTCAAACTATAATTTAGATTGTCTTATGTATCTTCCTATATAGATAACTTCCTACATCCTAAAGTAAATCACTAAAATAGCCAAGCAAACTTGAGGTAACTACATATATACTTTGAAGAGAAGCAAGTAACACTAATCTTAAGATAGAAATAAGAAAGAGTGGAAAGGACAAAGCAGCAACCATCAGGGTGTCTGCCCCATTCCTTCCTTGTCATAAATAAGTCCTATATAACAAAATATTTGTTCTTAAAATTAAAGGTAAAGACCTATAAAAAGGTGAATATTTAACTCTTCATAATATCAATCAAGACCACCTACAGGCTGGTTGATATGAAATCTTGTAGGCATTCTTCTCATTATAGCCGAGTCAAGGTCCTGAGGACGATTGGTAGCTCCCATTACTATGACCTAAGTATATAAAGAAAACAGAAGGTATTAAATATATCAATTATACTGCTTTGAGAATGTTATTACTAGAGCTTGGTTTAAAAAATTAAGTGGTATTTTAACTAAATCCTTTGTAAGAAATCTGATTTTAATTCACTATTATTCAACTATTTATATGTAAAAATTGAAGTTAATCCTAAATAGATCAAATAACAGCAAAACTGGAAAACTAATGCATTTCATTTGATGTCTTTCTAGTAATTAAAATATGTAATGTTCAGTTGCAAATAGCTACTCAGGAATTACAAAAATTTGCTTTTAAAAAAATATTGTATTTTGCAATATATGTTTGCTTAATGAATATATGCTGAATGACTGAAAGCCATTATTTTATAGCTTGGGTATACAGTTTGGAAGTGTGGGGGGACAGTTCAAGTCCTTAAATAATAATATTATGGAAAGAATCATTTCCCCTTAAGTCTGAAGATTATGGTAACTGTAATAGATATTGTGTACTTTTTCTCTATATTTCACATCATCATCTCATGGTACTATCAGCACTTCAGGTGATATCCTTTCAATGCTAAATAAAATCTCAAGTAATCAAACTTTAAAGATAACAGAGTATAAGCAAACATCAAAATGCTGGGAAGAATTCTTTTTAAAAATGCTGGCAGTCCTGCCAACTTCTGGGTCTATGTCACTTACTTATAAAGGATGTAGAGATTTTAAAAAAAAAAAGGAACTCTAAAAATAAACATAAATATAAATAAAGATACATAAAACAAGATAATTTCTGAAGGACATCAATATTACCTTTACTGTTGATACTTCAGTATAACCCAGTAACAATACACATCTGCTATCCAAAATGAAATTTAATGGTATTCCATGGAAACACATTACTCTAACATCATCTTATTTCTCCCTAACAGGTTTTACATTTCTGAAATAATTCAAATCTTATATTCTACCTCTACTCTATATTGAATGACATTCAGGAGCCTCAAAGCCCAATTACTTTCAATTAACTGTGAGAGTTTGCCACCTAGAGGAAGAAAATATAAACATGTTTGAAAAATAGTTTCACCACACAGCATAGTTTGTATTTGTGTTAAGTGGTCCTAAAATCAAAATATTAATGTTCATACCTATTTTTCTTTTTTTTCTTTTTTTTTTTTTCTTTTTTTGTAGACAGGGTCTTGCTCTGTCTCCCAGGTAGAAGTGCAGTGTTGCCCTTATAGCTCACTATAGCCTCAATCTCATGGGGTTAAGCAATCCTCCTGCCTCAGCCTTCTGAGTAGTTGGGGACTACAGGCACATACCACTGTGCCTGGCTAATTTTTCTGTCTTTAGTAAGATGAGGTTTCACCATATTGCCTATGCTGGTCTGAAACCTCTGGGCTCAAGAGATCCTCCCGCCTTGGCCTTCCAAAGTGCAGGGATTACAAATGTGAAACATTATGCCCATCCTCTTTATTGACTTTCTACAACTCAATAAAATTAATAAAAAAGAAAAAATTTCTTCCAAATTTAAAACAAACCTTAAAAGTAAGCGAATGAACTAAATATTTAAGATAATGAATACGGAAAAAAAAACCACAAAAGGCATTGTGGTTGAGTCAATATTTGGGGGAAAAAAAAAAGGAAAATGGAAAACATTTGAAAAAATATAGAACAAAACAAAACAAAACTGAAAAACCAGTACAGAGGATGAAACGCTAGAAAACAGAATCAAGGAATCCAAATAAAACTAGCAAAATATGGTCTATTGAGTATGTATAACAGATACTCATGATGAAAAAGCAACAGTGATTGAAATCACTTGTAGTTTCACATAAAGAAGCAAATTTTAAGGAGTGATTTTCAGCAAAACCAGAACTTTTACATATATATTAATTCTGTTTAATACAAATGAGCTACAATTTAAAACAGGAAGTGACAGTAATTTTTTACTACTTAAGCAACAAAATCAATGCTCCTTTTAGGTATTAGTTGTTCAAACGTTATTTTGAGATGGAGTCTCGCTCTGTTGCCAAGGCTGGAGTGCAATGGTATAATCTAGGCTCACTGCAACCTCCACCCTCCCGGGTTCAAGTGATTCTCCTGCCTCAGCCCTCCTGAGCAGCTGGGATTACAGGCAACTGCCACCATGCCTAGCTAATTTTTTGTTTTTTTTTTTTTTTGGTGAGACTGGGTTTCACCAGGTTGACCAGGCTGGTCTCAAACTCCTGACCTCAGGTGATCCACCCGCCTCAGCCTTTTAAAGTGCTGGGATTACAGGCATGAGCCACTGCACTCAGCCAGTTGTTCCAACTTTTAAGAAATCTTTATTTTCTGTTCCTGCATTCATTTGCTAAAAATAATGGACTTGAGCTTCATCTGGAGGAGGGAGAGGATCAGGAAAAATAACTAAAGGGTACTAGGCTTAATATCTGGGTATGAAATAATCTGTACAACAAAACCCCAAGACACAAGTTCATCTATGTAACAAATGTGAACATGTACCCCTGGATTTAAAATAAAACTTTAAAAAAGAATCTTTAAAACAAAACGTGAAGATAATTTTTTATCATTTCACATTTAAAATAATCAAACCTAAATTTATATCTCAAAACTTTATCAATGAATACCCTAAAAACACTATCTTTTTATGTCTCATGTCTCTCAAGATGAAGAATATGTCATCAATTACTAAGGTTTCCAGAAACAGTGATGGGTTTCACTGGGCCATTCTCTATTTCTGTTTCCTTGGTGACCATATCATATTACAAGAAAGCTAGCTAGGGTACTGGGCTCTATCCATAATCATAGAAAAGACAATTCTAGAGAAGAGCTAACTGGTTCACATGCAAGTAGAACATGTTTAAAATAATTACTCAAAATTAATAATATCAACTTTAACCTCCCCCCCAAATAAAAGTTAAAAAGTTACTGCAGTTTAATAAAACAGCAGCATCTTCGTTTGCTCTCTCAACTCAAAACTCATCATAATAAAAACAGTAATTGCTATTAGCGCAGTAAGGAATTTTGGTTCTGAGAACTCTGTTGCAAGTTATGCTGTACCAGAATCATACTGTGGAGCTCTGGAGGAAGTGGCTCTGGAGAATACTTCATCCAATTGCCTCTATATCACCTGCTGAAAATAGTTGAACACCAAGCTCTGACAGGGTATGTAATATTAAGATATTTTCTCTTACATGGGCCAACTATCCAATTGTCTAAATGCTCTAAGTATTATTTCTCAGGCGGAATAGTTTTTGGCAACCTGTACATGAGTCCCATTGATAAACCCCACAGCTTTATAAAAACCAATTATTAATGGGAAATGTTTCTATTAATGTTACCTAAATTTATCTATGTTATACTTTCTTCTCCAACCATTCCAGAAAAGCTAAAGGCTGTATTCCTCATAATAAAACTACGTTTTCACAAACACAATATAGAAGGAGGACATGAGACTTAATTTTCTTCTTGAGAATGATGTTCAGACTTTGACTTATGGTAATGTGGTGGGGTTAAGAGATCCTTAAACCCCATGAACACAAAAAATAAAATATTTAAAAGACTCAACTAAATTAACCGACAATTTTGCAAAGAACTAAAGGAATTAAGCTAAGGTTGGCAATAGGGCCTATGCACTTAACTCAGATTAATTCCTCAAAACAATTCTGAGGTAGGTACTATTCTTCCCTTTTTATAAATATTGTTCCCTCTATACAGATACAGGGTGATTATAAAATTTGGCCAAGGTCACACAGCTAGTTGATGCCAGGGTTCTGATTTTCTAATCCAATTAGAAACATGAGTAATAAGCAAGAACCTATCAAAACTGACTTGGTAGATTTGAAAAACAATCTAGAAAAATTTCTAAAACTGAAAAATATAATACTTGAAATAATAAGCTCAATGAAAGAGTCAGATAGCAGAAGAGCTTCAAATGAACCAGAAGAAAGGAAAATAAATTATCCAGGACACAGCACAAAAAGACAGAAAATATGAAAGACACGTTAAAAAAGACATGAAATAGGTCAGGCATGGTGGCTCAGCCTGTAATGCCAGCACTATGGGAGGCCAAAGTGGGCAGGCTGTTTGAGCTCAGGAGTTCGAGATCAGGCTGGCCAACATAGTGAAAGCCGTCTCTACTAAAATTACAAAAATTAGCCAGGTGTGGTGGTGCACATCTGTAACCCCAGCTACTTGAGACTGAAGCAGGAGAACTGCTTGAACCTGGAGAGCAGAGGTTGCAGTGAACCAAGATCATGCC